TAAGAATATTGTATGCGTAGAACAACTGTTTGGAACGGCTGTTAGATGAGGTAGAAATTACTATCCTGATTGCTTTGTTCTGAACTTTCTATATCAGTGCAAGGTGAGTATTGTAAGTGTTACCCAATGAAGTGATGCAAGAGTTAATATGTGAGTGCATAAATGCGTAATAGAGTAGTGTAGCAGTTTGGGCTAGTTGGTATGACATGACGATAGTTATAGCGCGAGAACAGAATGACGACAAAGAGTGCCCGTGTTCGTATTGTCTCTTTGTCGTCGAAAAATAGAGTGTGAAAAAATGGGCGAGATTGAATGAGCACGCGCATACTATAAGACGGCTTCTGTTTATAGTTTAAAACGTAGCTATATAGTTTAAGGTTTTTCCTGAGTCTGACACCTAGGTAAAAACATTCATGGATAGCGTGGAATAAATGATGTGGAATAATTGTAGGAGTGGGTACTAGCGAGCATTGATGTGATGAAAAGAAATTGATTTGTTTTTTGTTTTTTTGAGGACTGAACTTCTATTTTTTTAATTTACTCCAGTAAAATATGTTGCAAAGATCAGTACTTATTTATCTATTAGTCAGTCAATGCTTTCGTCACAGCTAAATGTTGTTGCATCATCGTCGTGGAGCAAACATTTACAGTGCGTGATATAATTTGGTTGGTCGTTATTAATAATTAAAAAGAAAGGAGGGCCCAAAATGGTCCACTGTGGTACCCCTGTGTTCATAGTTTCTTTTTTGTTTTCAGTAAGTGCCGGAAATACTGACCATTTGGTTTCTATTAAAAAAGTAACTACGAATCATTGACAAAGCAGGACCAATAATTCCAATTGCTTCGAGTTTTAGGAAGAGTATCTGATGATTAATAGTATCAAAGGCTTTGATTAGGTCAACAAAAACTGATCCAGCTAAAGTGCCTTCATCAAGAGCTTTTTTTTTTAAATTCTGTAAGAGATAAGAAAGCCAGATCAGTAGAATATCCAGCACGAAAACTAAACTCATAATCAGTGAGAATGCTATACTTATCAAGGTATCAATGCTTGCTTTACACTGAGCAATTATACTGACGGCATGCCGTTGATTAGTGTTAGGTTCCCACCTTTATTGCTTTTTATTATGTTTTAGTGATGGTGCTTATTGAGTTCATATTTTTATAATCAAGCTTGTAATTTTCAACCTTCATTTTGGAGCTTCCCCTCTTAATATGTTTGGCAAAAACTTTTCTTGATGCACTGCGGAAGCTACAGAGCCGAAGCGCATGCCTTCTACCACGCCAAAAATAGTTCCTAACTTTACTGATATTTTCTTTTCTCATTTGCTTTGCTTGAATCAATGCTGCTTTATTCATTGTGAGATTCAAAGTGCTGCGGTAAGTCGACGGTAAAATACAGTTCTGGTTCACCTTTCAACAATAACTTTCTTTTGTTGCGGTTTTTTAGGCAGCACCACCTTTTTCAGCACGTCTTTTTTTCAAAGTAAACCTGCTCACGGCTGGCTATTTTTTCATCCACTTTTCTTTCGTCTTATTTACATTCCATTGGTTCTAATAACTTCCCCTGCATTTTCCTTGGCAACACTGTCTGTTAGACCTCATTATTATTGTGTTAAAACACGGAAAACGAGCCCTTAAGTATACACTTCTTTCCCTGACGCATATATATATATATATATATATATATATATATATATATATATATATATATATATATATATATATATATATATATATATATATATATATATATATATATATATATATATATATACATATATATACATATATATATATATATATATATATATATATATAGAGAGAGAGAGAGAGAGAGAGAGAGCATCGAACGTGTAATTCGAAGGTCGTAGGTTCGATTCCTGCTCACAGTTGGTAATTTTTTCATCCACTTTTCTTTCTTCTTATTTACATTGGATTGATTTTAATAACTTCCCCTGTACATTCCTTGGGATTACTGTCTGTTATATCTCGTTAATATTGTGTTAAAACACGGAAAAACGAGCCCTTAGGTATACACTTCTTTCCCTTATTATATATATATATATATAGAGAGAGAGGCAGGCATGGTGGTTGGGTGGCCGTAGCGTTGCATATAGTCCAGTAGATCCTCCGTGAGCGGTCACAACGTGGTTTATTTCAACGTTTCAGCCTAGAGTCTGGCCTTCATCCTGATGAAGGCCAGACTCTAGGCCGAAACGTCGAAATAAACCACGTTGTGACCGCTCACGGAAGATCTACTGGACTATGTATATATATATATATATATATATATATATATATATATATATATATATATATATATATATATATATATATATATTGATGCCAGCGAGAAAACCCGAAATTACCCGCAACAGGCCGCCCTATCGGATCAACACGAATGCGCGGAAGCCTCGCCTCCGTATAGCTTTAGCTCCAAAGTCAAGATAAGGTATCTCCGAATACAGATAGTTTTCTTTAACCATCTGATTTGCGGCCAGCTCCTCACTGTTTTCTGATGAGTGACACTTCTCTACAACAGTGACCATTAAATGCACATTCTCTCTAAAGCGTTCCCGTTGAATGGTTGATTGATCACCACAACGTTGAATGTTTGATTGAAAACCAAATGCACTAAGAAACAAAGAAGGCAAAATAACTTCCAAGGTGGATAGGATAGTTAAAATAGCGGAGGAGTTTCACAGAGATCTGTGCAGTAGCCGAGACAACCAAGACCTTAATACTATAAGAACTAGCAGTAACCCAGATGACACCCCCCCCACCACCCCAGTAATGATTGAAGAAGTCAGAAAAGTTTTGGAGAGCATGCAAAGGGGCGAAGCTGCTGGTGAGTATCAGGTAACATCAGATCTGCTGAAGGATGGACAGATTGTGTTATGAAAACTAACCTCCGTGTTTACGAGGTGTCTCCTGTAGAGAAGAGTACCAGAATCTTGAAAGAATGCTAACATCAACTTAATACATAAGAAAGAAGATCATAAAGAGTTGAAGAATTACAAGCCGATCAGCTTACTCTCCGTAGTATACAAGCGATTTGCAAAGGTAATTGCTAACATAATTAAGACAAGATTAGGATTCAATCAACCAAAGGATCAAGCAGGATTTCGAACAGGCTACTCAACAATCGACCACATTCATACTATCAATCAGGTAATAGGGAAATGCTCAGAGTATAACCAACCACTATACATAGCCTTCATAGATTACGAGAAGGCGTTTTATTCAGTAGAAACATCAGAAGTCATGCAACACTGCGGAATCAAGGGGTCGACGAAGCATATATAAACATCCTGGAAGAAATTTACAGTGGATCAACTGCTACCATAGTGCTTCACAAAGAAAGCAAAAGAATAATAATCAAGAACGGTGTAAGGCCGTGGAATACTATCTGCATTTTGCTATTGACCACGTGCTTACAGGAGGCTTTCAGAGGTCCAAAATGGGAACAGTTAGGGATAAGAGTTAATCGAGAGTACCTGAGTAACCTGTGCTTCGCCGATGATATTGCATTGCAGAGTAACTCAGGGGACAAATTGCAACTCATGATTACGGAGTTAGACAAGGAAAGCAGAAATGTAGGTGTTAAAATTAATCTACAGAAAACAAAAGCAATGTACAACAACCTCGGAAGTGAGCAGAGCATTGGGATAGGTAATAGGGCACTTGAAGTTGTAAAAGACTATGTCTACTTAGGACAGGTAATAACTGTGGAGCCTAACCACGAGATTAAAGTAAATAGAAGAATAAGAATGGGGTGGAGCACACAAGCACTCTCAAATCATGACAGATATATTGCCACTATACCCCAAGAGGAAGGTGTATAACAGCTGCATCTTGCCGGTACTTAACTACGGAGCAGAAACCTGGAGACTTTCTAAGAGGGTTCAGCTTAAATTAAGACGATGCAACGAGCAATGGAAAGGAATTGGTAGGTGTAATCTTAAGAGACAAGAAGAGAGCAGAGTGGATTAGGGAACAAGCGGGGGTTAAAGATTTTATATTTGAAATCAAGAAGATAAAATTGACATGGGCCAGGCATGTAGCGCGTAGTCAGAATAACCACTCGTCATTAAGGGTAACTAACTGGATTCCCAGAGAAGGCAAACGGGCAAAGGGGAGAGAGAAGGTTAGGTAGGCAGATGAGATCAAGAAGTTTGCGGATATGAATTCTCAGCAGAAAGAACAGGACCGAGTTGACTGGCGGAACATGGGATTGGCCTTTGTCCTGCAGTGAACCTAGTCAAGCTGATGATGATGATGATGATGAAGACTCCGCGCGCTTGTTTTGCAGCTTATGTGACACCGGCTAGATGCTTCCCAGTGCAGGTAATAGTTTAGCGGTTGCTGTTTTTATTTAGGAAGCTGGGTGAAACAGCTACGTACTAAAACTGTGAAGCCTAAATATAAACAAAAGATCGTGGGATAGCTAAGGAATGCTTGTCGCGTTAAGGAACAAGGCTTATTCTACCAAAAAGCCTATATCCACCGCTTGGACACATAACCACTTCCTCCAATTCTTCGCAAGCGAACGTAGAGCCTGTGCATCTCGCAGAAACATCTGTCTCAAATAAGTAGGTTCACCTGCATTACAGAACATCTAGCACCAATTAGGAGTCTGTGCTGCATGCTCTAGATTAGTTGTATGAGCACACAAATCTAATACCAATAATGTTATCTGGAATTTTGTTTGCGAGTTTGTGGTGTTATTACGAGGCGTTGTAGTGGAGGGTTCCGGGAATTTAAACCTGCTGGTGTTCGTTAACGTGCACCGACATCTAACAATACACAGGCCTCCATCTCTTCGCCTCAATTGAGATGTGACCGTCGCCGACGGAGATTGAACCCGCGATCTTCGCGTCAGCAGCCGTGCACCGTAGCCACCGATACACTATGGCGCACAATTTAGACAGCATGTAGAACGTGACTATTATATGGTGCGCTCTGTATTCCATCTTTGCCCCTTTGTGTCTCGATCGTAGTGGCAGCATGAGCAGCGGGGTGGCAGGACCGGTGGAGTAGCCGAGGCACAGAGCTGCGGGTCGCGCATCTCAGCACGCTTCTTGCTCGACATTCCGTGCGACATGACGCGCAGTGCCTTCTGCAACGTCGCCGGCAGCTCCTATCCGTGGTGCGTATACAAAGCTACGCAGTCAATGCATGTGCCTTTCGCAGTTGCCGTGGCCTGTGGTTAACTTCTCGGCTGAGAGTCGTGCATCATTACACGTAAGTGTATATACGCAGTTTTCTTAAGAGTGTGTGCCATCTTGTCCTTCTCTATTCCCTTTCCTCCTAGTTCCCATTTTATTATAAAGGAAACAATTTTCTACAAGCACGACATCTGTTTCACCTCAATAGGGAATCTGGTCTGCCTGGTTAAGTCGCATGAATCACGAAAATTGGCAAGAGATCAAATGAAAAAGCCCGGTTTACAGATGTTTTCCTTTGTGAGATAACTCAGATGTTTACAGATGTTTTCCTTTGTCAGATAAATCAGTCTAACTTACACGTCAGCCGCTCCAGTGCCAGCTTAGTTTGTAGTTTTGTTTTTGTTTTCGAATTAGTTCACTACACTTTTTTTAGCTGTAGAATGAGTGTAAGTGTACATCTAGAGCAAATACGAAGAACTTGAAGTTATTAGTGAAATACGTCTTGTTTAAAAGAATGCGAAATTCATCCTACAAACACTTTCAAGAACAGGATGTACGGAACATAACTTTTTTTCTTTTCTCTCATACCAGAGAAGCGTTTATTAATACTGTTGAAGAGAACAGTTTATGTTTGAATTGTGAAAAAAATGAAGAAACCAGCGAATCGCCTGACTATATGGCACTTAACATTCCCCCTCCTATTATTCGTATTGTTTCTACATATCTTTCAAATATGCAGAAAAACTCCAATTACATGCAGTTACGTCATGGCACATGCGACTTATAAATATTATTTTCATCAGACTTTTTTTATGCCTGTTGTAGCCCAAAAAAGATCATTACCGGAAAGGGCTATGTTCATGAAATAATCACTAGGGTGTGGTATTGTGAAATGAGACTGGCCGCTTGTCATAAACTTCTATGGTTGTGAAGAAGGTGCGAGATATACACGTACTGTTCAGATGGAAAGAAATGCGAAACAATGTGGCTTCTACGCGCTCCACTGTTTGACTTTTTTTTCAAGTGGTTGTAGCCTTGATAGCAGTAGAAAGCTACTAGAGTCACAAATACTACAATCATGGACTATTTTTGCATCATTTCACTGCCACCAAGGTGAGAATGCGATGAAAAGGGTGCGCTGGGCTGTTCGCGTTTCTTACAACCCCTCTCAATATCCGCTGATGTGATGAAGTAGACTGTCACTGCCTTGTAGGCAAGATCACTTGTCCAAGCGTTGGCATCAGCAACATATCCGTATTCCAAGGAGAGAAGAAATGAATGCAGAGACTGCACGTCCCCTTCCTTCGTGTCACGCAAGTTGGCTAGTTACGCAATGCCACTGAGCATTACGGAGGAATCTGTGCCGTTTTCTCCTAAAATGTATATTTCATAGATAGTAGTTGTGTGAACGGTGAGATGAACGAGTTGGATATCTGAAAGGGCCCTGCCGCGGTGGTCTAGTGGCTAAGGTACTCGGCTGCTGACCCGCAGGTCGCGGGTTCATATCCCGGCTGCGGCGGCTGCATTTCCGATGGAGGCGGAAATGTCGTAGGCCCGTGTGCTCAGATTTGGGTGCACGTTAAAGAACCCCAGGTGGTCAAAATTTCCGGAGTCCTCCACTATGGCGTCTCTCATAATCATATAGTGGTTTTGGGACGTTAAACCCCACAAATCAATCAATCAATATCTGAAAGGTGTAGAACGAATGGAGCGCAGCGGGTGGCGTTCTTGTTAAAACCATTCTTATTCGGCGCTCTTCACTACTGCTGTAGCTATTTCCTTAGCATAGTGACTCTGAACCTCTACTGTAAGGAAGGTGCTATACTAATCTCAGTATCATCAGAAAACACTTACTTAAGAAGTCACCCACTCACACCTCGGTCTCTGAACCTGAATGCCTTTGTGCGCTTCTGAGGCCCACGTTAAACATGTTTACTTCGATAAGAGCCGCATTTCAATACTAGAGAACTGGACGATTCACAGCCTTACCTTGCAGTAGCACTTCACTTACTTGGTACTGACGATTTACGTATGCAGGCACGCAGTGCGGCGCTACATCTTCGAAAACCAAGGCCTGGTGCGGCGCATGTATGGCGACCAGCGACACAGCGTTATTGTAGGCAGCGAGATAGAAGCGCGCAGGCTGCGCTACGATGACATGCGATTCCACGAGCCAGAGAACCCCGTATCGCCAGTGCATCGTCACCGTGGTCGGGCGGCGTATCGAGTGCGGCCCAATAGCCGCTACGCAAACCTTCTGAAGACCTCGCCCTTGGCTGACGGCGAGAAAGCGCGTCCGCCACCGCCACCACCTCCGCCGCCACTGTCTGTGCGGCCACCCGCACACACCGATGTGACCGCAGGTATGGCGACCACCACAGCTGCCACCAGCCCAGCGACGACCGTGCACGCGACGGGTGACAGTCCAGAGACTACTGCGCCGGCCCTCCTCGACGGTGCCTCAGATGGCTACAGACCAGGGTGAGTGCATGCGCGTATCAAGACGCGTGCAGTGAGTGAGTGAACGCTGCAACGCTCATGAAAATATTCACCGTGCACACATTGAAAACGAGGTTGAAGTAAAGAAAAGTTTGACTCGGCATAAGCTGTATGACTGCTTCTACATCAGCCCACCGGTCATTTGTTTCCGCATGTTTACTGTCTTACATTAAAAAAAAATGTGCGAAAAGAAGTGGGCGGGGAGGGAGCCTTGCTGACTTTTTTTATTATTGTATGCGCGAGTCGGTTTGCACATTTATATAGGATATATAGCTCTTGTGTGACTGTTTTGAGGCAATTTACATTATCTGATTTTATGTCTACTTGATCAGCGTTCGGGATCGCTGGTTGTTGGTTCATCATCATTTGCCCTATTTTGTTTTGCACCTCATCAGAAATACACAGAGATCTTACCTTTATTAGTTGATCAGCCACAAAAAACTCGCTCAAATGGCCTGTGTAAACAAGCACTCTAAAAAAAATTATTACCTGTTATATGACAACAAAGAGCGAGGAGCAAGCTTCTAAAGTGTGTCGCTTCGGCAGGAATGTTGGAGGAAGCCTTAATAGCCCACCACTTCTGTTAAAAAACTGCAGGTGGTCAACATTAGCCCTGGGTCACTCACAACGGCGTGTCGTATAATATCGTTGTTTTGGAACGCAATGTCCTGTAGCAATTACGATTATTTTCAACTGAAGTACAACATTGCTTCTTTGAATTCGAACGAAAGCTATGCAGCTAAGTCGGCTGATGTGCCGCGAGCAAGGAGCACCAATGTACTCACCTTGCGAATTGCCATACTCGCAGTTAAAACAAGTGCTTCGTCTACAACCAATGCTCTTCAAGGCGGGTGAATGCTATTAAAACTGACGGACAAGATAAACCACGTGTTTCGAATCAATCATGACTTGAGTGCGTATTAATTCACCTATATCGGACACGCCACACCTACTACTTATGTTTATTGCTCTAACTTTACATTAGGTTTCCTGTGCGTTATTTTGAGTACAGGGTGCACATAGAAGAATTGCTGAATGGGAATCTCTTGAAAAATAAATAGTTGGGAAACGATTTATCAAGCCACAAAGAATTTTGTTCATTTATTGAAACTCGCGGAAAGCTCCTCAAAAAGCAGCCTTTTTTTTATGTCAAGTACGCGCATAGTCTTGGAATTGCATTTCTTTTTTTTTGTACTGCGTGGATGCATTCGCGCACCGTTTTATGAACGAAGCAAAACGTTCCTTACTGACCTCATCGTACTAAAATCTTTCATAATCATCAACAGGTACGCGTTACACATACTTGGTAAGACACAATACAAGCAGGGAAACATTAATAACAACGTCTATGACAGAGTTGGGGTGGCAGAAGAATCCTACAGCGTACTATCCTAAGAAATACCTATACAGGGTGTCCCAGGTAAATTTAGCCAGAGTTTAAAAACATGCCTGGCCACGTGATTACGTCGCGGCCAAATGCATGTTGCTCGCCATTGCCTGTAGTCAGTTAGACTATTTTTTGTGTTCTCAAATATTGTTTACTTATATATATTTATTTAACTAACTTTTCAAACATGAAGATAGATGAAAAATTTCAATGAGAAATATGCAGATTGGTTTGTAACACATTAGATTAGACAGTTTTGAGCTTTTTATCTGTTAGGTATTAGTATTTTTCTGCTACTAACGAACGACAATACTATTTTCGCCCCATTGCGCTGTATCGGCAGGGCCGCAACGATGGTGGTGGCTTTGCTATGAACACGTTTTGCTATCGGCCACAAAAACAATAACCGCTGTGACTGCTTGTTGCTGCCATCAACCAGCACGAGCGAAGCGTGTCGTTAATACGCGGAACGTTAGGGAGCATTAGAATCATCGTGCGCACGGACGTGTGAACGGGTTTCTCATGAGGTATTTTTTGTATTTCGCGGGCATTTGTAATAAGCAGAAAAACACTAATAGTTAACAGATAGAAAGCTCAAAACTGTCGTATTGGAGGTGTTGCAGACCGATCTACAACTTTCTCATTGAAGTTTTTTATCTATTTTCGATGCGTGAAACGTTATATAATTAAACATATATAATAAACAATGTTTGAGAACACAAAAAATAGTCTGACTAACTCCAGGCAACGGTGAGCATCATGCATTTGGTCGCGTCGTAATCGTGTGTGCTGGTATATTTTTAAATTCTGGCTAAAGTTACGTTGGACACCATGTAGAAGCGACCCAGAAACAACATGCTTCACCTAGATATAAGGGCACAAAACAACCCACAAGCAATCAGATTAGCCTTTAAAATCGTCCAGTTTCGCTGTTTCAAGCCTTGCGCGGCTTAGTGCTTGCTTCGTCATCTTTTTTTTTTTTCAGCTGGCTGGGTGCTGCTATTTTCAACGCCGTCAGGCTGTTACGCAAGCTTCCCAATTGGTGCGTCTGCTCGCAAGCTATTGCGAGTTCGTGCTGCGCAAAGCGAAACTGCGTATTTCAATAGGATTATATTTTCTTTTTCGACTAAAAAGTGTGACGTTCACTAGGCGAGCACCTGCCCTAAAGTCACTGTATAGAAAGAAAAGAAAAGTCATCGTGGTAAACTGAAAACAGGGCCTGCAGAGCTGTTCTGAGTGTGGTTTACGCATCGAAGTGCACTTAAAGAGAGGTAACCGATGAGAAGCAGCGCCGTTTCTGTGCGCTATCTTGTGCCGTGTTTATGGATGAGACCTTACTAATGGCATCTCGAGCTAAGCGTTCAAACGTACGCGTTGAAGCGCACATGCATGGCTCTAATTAAGCAAATAACTTTCTAGTTGCTTTACAGTACGGTGGACAAAAGACAACATTTGTTTTCGGACGAGAGATGTATTGCGCCCGCAACACTCGAGCGATCGGCAACACAACCTGTGACATCGTTCTCTGCATGTGGCTCCTAGCTACAGTGTCACAGGAGATCGCAATGAGGTATTTTGGTGCAAATAGAATTGTGAGGTAAGAGACGCACATGTGTACATTCACATATAACATTAAGCTGCAGAACAGGATTGACCTGGGACGCATTTGAAAGCTTCGGCGTAATCAGTACAGAACAGAAAGGAAAAAAAAACTGACACTGAAAAAAAATTCCAAACCATTCAGTGAAAACTGGAAGTGAAACAATTCAGTGAAATGAAGCTAATAACTGCCTGCTATGATAAATAATTGGAGCTTTGGGAGATCCGGTTCAAGGTAAAAAAACTAAGCACCTCCTTCTCTTCCTCAATTCAACAGTGTAGCTGTATAGACTGGCAGAAACTGCGTTATTCATGTGCGTAAACTATCATCGCCATGCACGCAATAAGACCAATGGCGCAGCTCTGTTGTTGAACATGAACGCAATTCGGCCGGCACGCCCTTTCTTCGCTCTCGTCTTCACCTTCTACGTCGCTCCCAGAACAAGTGCGCCGATTCTTGCCGGCATTCTATGCAATAACTCAGGTGCAAGAATGAGAAAAAAGAGAGGGAAGAAGACGAAAAAGACATAAAAAAGACTGACGGAAGATGATAGAAATACTGAAAAAAATAGATACATACGAAACGAGAAATAAGCACAGACAGAAAACTAGATAAAAAATCAGATAGCCAGAGATAAACATTAAAAAAGACAGAAACAAAGACAGGGGGAAGAAAGTGAGGAAAGAGAAAGAGCGAGAAAAAGATACAAAAGATGTAGATAAAGAAATATAAATAAACAGATGCAAAAAATATAGAAAAAAATTGTGAGCGAATGCAAGAGAAGAAGAAAGAAAGAGGAAATAATGAAGATAAACAAGGAAGGGTGCCCGACTCCGCTGTTCCACCAGGCTTGACATAGTGTGAAGCTACGAAAAGTATTTATCTTTATTTCTTCGTCAGTAAGAAGCACAATTTACCCTTTCGACCCAGTATGCTACATCTATCTTTCAAAAGCGTGGTCCGTGAAGGAACTAGTATTGGAGTTTACTAGTTCAAGCCTTAGCATGAGGTGGTGACAAGGACAGCTGGTGTTGGTATGTGATATACCATGCGCGGGAACGAAGCAGTCCTCATTTATTCCTTACCTCACCCATCGAATGTCCAGCTTTTTATCATGCGCAGAAGCAATCACCGAGGCCAAATTTCGGGGATGCGCCACTCAACGAATGGGACGATTCGCAATAATATTTTGACCTGACCGTCCCCATAAAAATATGAAATGTGTCCCGTATTGTGGCACACAGCTGCGAAAGTGTCTTGAAACAGTGACATGCAAGTTATACAAAGCACATGTAGGTTCAGAAGGAAGTCCCGATGTAAGGCTCTCAGGGGAATCTCCTGTTTAAACTAGTCCAAAGAAAAAAGAGAGTGCTAGAAACGTAGAAATCGGCAATAAATATAGCTACTATATATATCAACAGTACATTGAAAAGAATTAAAAAAACTAGATACACAGAGGTTAAACAGACAAGTACACCTGTTACATAGTATTGAACAAAGAAACTATCGAATGGTTGTTTTTTTTTGGCAAAGTTCTATTCAGTTGTTCCGGAAGAAATCAATGAAGTATACAATGAAGCGTCAGTGTTGTATTCTCCTATACGGTGTATTCTTGCTTTAGAACGCAATAAATACAACCTCGTAATAAGCAATAGGGACATAAAGAAAGTATTATCAAATCATTCAAAGCACCAACCTGAAGAGTAAAAAAAAAAGGTGATAAATTGAATTGAGAAATGGTGAGCATGATGAGGAATACGTAGTTCTCAGTATCGTATTTTCAGTATCGTATTTAGGCCATGTTCTTCGCTTTCTTTAATTTCTTTCTTTCATTCATCACACCTAGTGACATTGTCTATAGAGAGAGCTATCTAAAGTTAGCGTCCGAAGGAAGACGTCCCATCACGCCAGAAGTATAACAGAAATACGCGAACGTGTACACAGCGCACTTCGCCTGTCGATAATTCCGTGCGATAATTTCTGTGAATACAGTGAGCTACATGTCAACATAACGCTCGGTGCACAGCTTTTGAACAATGGTAACGGGATTTCTAGTTTGAGATGGGCCAGAATAATGTTATAGTGGACTACCGCTGACTCAATGTCGAAGGAACTCCTGTATTGTGTTTGATTGATCAAGAAGTTGTGCCATCAAAAGCTCTCATATACATGATTATGAGCAAGGTGACACCACGCACCACAATTAGGCATATATTCGTTCACATTTTGAAGCTTTTCAGCGTTTTTAAACCTTCAGTGCACAAAAGAAACCGACAGCAGAGGTATAAGGTCCGCAAATTGACTGGCCATTTACAGCTGACCAGACATTTCGAAGAGATGCTGAACAAAAGTTGGAACATTGACAAAACCATTGAAGTTCGACTCGGGAATGCACCACTGTTCCCATAAACAAGTTTGTTTCAAATAATTTCGAACAGTTCGCTGTATTTTAAATAGTTTGTCAGTGCGCTGTCACCACACGCGAGCAAAAGCGGTGACGTCATATTCTCGGAGGTCCGTGCAGGGTGCACGTAATCCTACCCTCTTCTTGTATTTTCTTCATCTCTCCTTTCATTCTTCTGTCCCCCTTTCACAAAGGTGTGGGTGCTATACCTTAGCAGGCAACGTTGTTCGCTGCCAGTAGCGTTGGTAGTGTATCTGGGAAGCGTAGTGGGAGCTGAATGGCTTGAGAGACACGGACGACGGCTAGCATTGTCTGCTGACTGTTTCCGGTGTGTTGCAATGTCACCAAACTTTAGTTGATGGCGCGGCCACTGGACACGGAAGTTTGTGAAGAATGCATTAAATTCGTTATTTTCCTTTAGTTCGTGCCTTAAATGAAGGCTTTGTCTATCAATTTCAGCACCCAATCTTTCAATTCGGCTGAGAACCTTCATGGCAAACAATTTTGTTCACTATCACCTAAAAGAAATACTGAGTGGTCAACTGCTTCTTTCTTTTATGGGCCTTCAACGCAAAGCTTTCTATACCAGTAAGAAAAGTTAGTAAGGATTTATTTTTCATTTTTAGACCGTTAGAACAATAAAAAAATTTTGAACAGTTGCCGGACAGGCGTAAGTATTTTCCTGCATGCCCATGCAAAAGCTACGAATTGACCGAATGACGGAGTTTGAATTAGGTGGCTTTTATATCACTTGGAAAAACAGGGGGCTGACCAAAAATTGAAATTTTGTTTGAAATAACTGCAAGCATGAATTATCAAAGTTTGAATTGTCACGAGTATAAAGTAATTGGTGACTACAGATAATTTTCAGCCACCTGCTGTGTTTAAAGGGCCCCTAAATGTAGATATACGAGCTTAACGAGTGTATGCTACTCCTGTATGAGTTTAAGACACACTAACGCATATGAGAGAAACTTTTAACACTCCTACTGTGTTCAGTGACGTGCGTCTTTTCCCATATAGAACGCTCTAAATGCCTGGCGTAAGTTCATGGCTTTTGCGCGAGTAGTATACCACATATTTTCCACGAGACCATTTCTTCTACATACTGTTGTTTCGTATTGATACATTTTTTTAGTGAGTGATCTACCAGTAGGTCTAGGCCGCTCAAGTATTTTTCGACATTTCATTCAAGGTTAGTTTCCAGCCTTTTTTAATTTTTTGACGTACTTGTGCAAGGAACCAGGTATTCTTTTAACAGATTCAAAAGCGTAGAACGTGGACCATAGAGGGACGCCCCACAAATGAACAGGCACCTACTATGATATCTAAACACGGAGACAGAAAGAGGCAGAAACACACACACTGGTAAATGTGAATTATTTCCCGCAAAACTTAATGTGCGCAAAACGTTTGCGTTGCCAACAGGAGCCCTACTCAAGTGGTGTTTCACGGTGAGCCAGTCGATGTGGAGGCGCCGTCACGGCTTACTACAGAGGCACCATACAGCCGGGAACCTGGAACGACCCTGACGACACCGACAACGCCCAGTCATACGCCGGCAGCCGCCGTTACCACTAGGGAGGTGGGCAAGCCTGTGGTTCTGATATTAATAAGACGTAAAACAAGGACTTCAATCAAAACTGTGTTCGCAGAGCTGAATGTACGAACAGCGCAAACTAGAAGTAGTTACCACGTAACTACGGAAGCGAAAAAAACAAGGACATAAAAGAACGCTGACATTCAACAATGATTTATAGCGGAGTGGTGTACATATTCAGGCTAATAAAAAAAAGAAGGAAATGGACATGCGTAGAAGGTTCCAGGTAACAACCACTGGAATACAATGTCAGCAAAACTCTTGTTGAAAGTCCGCACTCTTGAAACAATGTTGAAAGTCAGCGATCTTTTCTGCCCTTGTTTTTTTCTTCTTCCGTAGTTACACGGTACCTATTTCTAAGTTGCGCTGTTCGTACATTTAGTTATGTCCTACCAACTTGCCTAAGTTTCCACGATTCTTGTATTCGCAGACAAGTGACGAAAAGTCAAAAAAGAAAAACGTAGGATAGCCAAATGAAAACAAGAGTCAACAAAGAGGTGCCGTAGGCTGAGTCTTTTTTACGGGTACCAAATACACATAACATGAGCTCGTGCTCTGCGGAGAATCGTATTCGAGAAAAAAGCGTTAAAGGTCATCGTAGGATCGAACACCATTCAATTGTAGTCAACCTATGAGTAAAATAATCTTTCTGAATTGTCAGCTCGACGGTGCCTCCTTTTTAAATACAAGAGTTATCAACCACCCGTCCGCAGAACTGAAAAACAAACGCAATTTTCTCGCTGTAGAAATGGAGGCTATGTACGCGTAAAAGCGCAGTCCTTTGTAATGTTGCATGCACTAATAAAACTAGTCCGCTCAATAAAGAAATACACCATAAGTATCACCAACTTGCCTTCCTCTTGAAGGCTTCTTTGATATTTCGTATATATAGCTATCGTGTATATGGCTAACCAGGGTGCCATACTCAGCAAGTTTTCTGTATACGTTAAGGAGCGTATACATGTACACCATCAGGGTGGTGCTCCACGAGTGAATAGCACATATGCAGGCGAGTAGTTTTTGTGAATAACAGCACATGTTATGATTAGGCCCGTTCACAACTTAAGGGAAGGCCGCATGCGAATAATGGTTGTCAAAGAGTGAAAACTTTGGCTTGTTGCATGGTGTAGCATTGGTGTGTTCGTTGGGTCATGTTCTTCCATCTCCTCCTCGTCCTGACTGTTCGGTGGTTGGTTGCAGTGAGGGTTACGATACAGGAAATCTGAACGAGTTTATAATTATAATGGTTGTTAGAAAACTTCGAAGACAATGCAGTTCGCGGTGGCGTAGACGGCTGTATTCGTAAGAGTGTTCGTACTCTTAAGATCGTTTGAAAAAAAAAATGAAGCGGCGCATTAGTGGAACGAACCCTGAGAAGATTGGAGCTGATCGTGTTCCTCTCCTCCTCTCTGTAGTCCTAACCTTCATCTCCCTCTTTTACCTTCTTGGTACACATTAATATACGTGGCTTCGGTATCCTGTTTTTTTTTATTTAACCTTTCTTTCTCTTTCTTAAAGGTTGCGATTGGGCCCTGTTGGCTTCACATCAGAAAAAAGTCCGTAACTGAGACCCCAACAAAAAAGAGACACATTTAGAAACATAAATGTAAGTCTGCCCTTCGTGAGCCTAATTGTGTCTCTTTTATTGCAATAGCAATTATATGAACCCTCTCGGTTGGATTTCACCGCCGGCGTGGGCGTCGACGTCGGCGTCTTGCAGTGTATATGTATACGTATCTATATATTTGAAAACGGAAGAAAAAAAAACTCCGGCACGCGCAATCGAACGTGGGACTTCACGACCCGCAATCGAACGTGTCGTGAATTCGAGCCGTTAACCACTGAGAGGTACCTTCTCCAACGTTCAAACGGCAAGCTATTCATATCTACCACTTAGTGCTGTTGGCGGGCATCTCGAGAAGGGGGGGGGGGGGGGGGGGGCTAACTATCGTGTTTTCAGCATTATCAGCAGGATGGCGCAGTGAGCGCGCGCGGCGGCTTTTGATTTGAATGATATGTGGGGTTTAACGTCCCAAAACCCCCATATGATTATGAGAGACGCCGTAGTGGAGGGCTCCGGAAATTTCGACCACCTGGGGTTCTTTAACGTGCACCCAAATCTGAGCACACGGGCCTACAACATTTCCGCCTCCATCGGAAACGCACCGGCGGCTTTTCTCCCTCACGCATACTTTGGCCTGCGTATAAAAAAAAGGGAGTTTATGCTCGATTGCGCGCCCTATCTTGCAGTGAGGAGAATCGTTCGTCTTGGCTAGCCATTGGGTTTTATCGGAACGATTCGGTTGCAGTTACCGGGAACAAAAAGGTCACTGCAATCGTTGCACAGCCTCCGTTTGCGAAAAGAGTGCGCTTTTCAGACAGCGAAGTCACAACTGAAACGCTTATTCACATTCACCTGTACCTGTGAGTACGTTTCGTGCATCATTTATGAAAAAGGTGGGGCACGTTTCGATCTGCTTGCCATTTTGCGCGTGACCTTCCAAGTTGTTGCTATCACATTCATTGCTTCGCCTTTGAGCAAAGCTGTGACTTTTTTTTTCTGTCCGTGTCCCAGTTGCGCCTTTTCTGCATTTGGTTCTTTCTGTCACACACTCTCTTGGTCTCTAGTTTCTTCTCTCTCTGTCCCGCTTTTTGCATATGTTTATCTCTTAGTGTTTCTCTTTCTCTCTTTCTTTCCTTCTGTCTTTCTTTTTCTACTTCCTATCTCGCCCATCCGAGTTACTGCATCCCACACCGCAGTAATTGGCGCATGTGCTCTGGGAGCTAAGAAGATAGAGGTCGAAGAGAGCACATGTCGGCTGAGCAACGCGCAAGAAATGTAGAGGCCGATCATGGGGATAATAACTTTTGTTCACTCGGCAGGGCCTAACCTCAAGTATAAACAGCTTTCCAGTTCAAAACGCAGCGCCAGGTGAACAGTTGCTCGACAGAACGTTAACAGTGGTGTTGCCCAATCGAAAACAATGCCGACGAGCTAAAACCTTTTGTGAATTTGACAACAGTATGTGCCATTCCAGCGAGTTCTTACAGTATAAAGTAGATCGCAGAATGAAGAAGAGTGACGATGCCCACCATGTGATGAATACCTTAACCACTGCTGATAAAACGCCTGTATACCGCGTGTTACTCTCCCGCATATTTATTTATTTTTTTCATCGCACGTCGGGACGCCGGGGTGATCGATGCGAGATCGCCAGAGCATAGGCCTGCTGCCTGGACAGTCAGTTCTGATTCTTCAGTTACCACGCTTCTGGCACGCAATCGTGTACATTTCTTCTACCTTGCTGTGGTAACTGGATGTCGTACGTAATCAAGTGATTAGATGTGATGCAGTGGGTTAAGTACAATGTCGGATTGCGCGTGGTGGCAAAGTAGCGTAACCTAAGTTAACGAAGCGTTGATAAGTGTAAGCTGATTTTGGTTTCAATGACAAAGCATTGCAATAGGTCACGATAATGACAGATGTAGTGTCTACGCGTTTATTATAAAAGTACGCTGTGTGCCAGAGACAGTGCGATTAGGTGTTGGAAGTTAAGGCGAGAAAGAAACAGCAATCTCTAGTTCGAGCTCATAGGGGCGTAAGAGTCCTTAAGCTAAATTTTTTTATTCAGTGCCCGTATCTGCAAAGGTTGCCTTACGTACGAATGACCATTCACTGGCCAGGTCATGGACAGCCGTCACTTGCGGTAGCGGTAACGCCTGAAGAAAGGACGCGTAGATAAATGCGCATTGCGATGTCACTTGCTAAGTAGAAGCTCCGTGAACCGTGTTGGTAGTGCTTGAATTAAAAAAAAATCTCTAGATTCAGTGCTGCTATTTATTGCCCGGCCACTCTCACCATTAATAAGTACACGCTAATAATGTACAGGTATACGCTTTTAAAACAATTCTAACGTGAGAACATTCTTGAGGGGAATATTCAAAAAAAAAAACTTATGCCAGAAACTTAAGTCCAACGGCGCGGGTTGATGACTTAATCGCTAAGGTGACTGAGCAGCGACAACAAGAACTTAGGACAGACAATTCATGTTTATTCGGAGCAAGACGTTTCCATAATCACGTGCACACAACGCAAACGACCGTACCGTGGGAGTATCTTTATGGCTCTTGAAAGGGCCCAAAACTACCCAGAGTTCTAAATGTAGTCGTGGTGGGGAAGTTGTGCTTGAGTCTACGAGACACACATAGTCATGAGAATTTTTCCACACGGTGCCGTATTAGTAAGATAGACGCGTTTGATGATCGAATCATGGCAATCGCTCTTTTCTTTGCTACCCTCCACAAGTCTCCTCTCCCAAATCCTCTTTGCCCTCCTCCCGAGTGCAACTCACAATCTGATGAGGCATATACGGTGATAGGCCGTGCCATAGCAGCTCTGGGCGAGACAAGCCGCTGATATATCCTAACGACGAACCGCAAGGAGCGCGGACAGCTGCATGAAAACTAACCGGAAGTCGCAGGATTTTGCTCAGCGAATCGCAGCATGACTTGCGCTACGCATCACAGATTCAACTCCGCGGCGTTATACGGAAGCCGGAAAGGCCCGGGGATGAGGACGGGGGGTTGTTGAAATTTGTGGCGCGCCCGCGGCTCGTAGCGCTGACACGTGTGACATCGTTCATCGTGATGAAATTCTACACACGGTGCGCGCGTTTACTTGGTAGTTTTGAAACAAGATAAGAGCTGGTGTTTAAAAAAGATTTTATGTGACGCATGCTCACAGTTCCCTGATTACATGCGGCGTTCTGTTCCGTCCACAAGGTGAATCTTTTTTCTCGGTGCAGCACGTGTCAACTGACACGTTGACAACGACTACGACAAAAGCAGCTGACTTCGAGCCTTCGTACGCGGCTGGCGAGCCGTTAACACACGAGCCAGAGCCGCTGCACGCATACGCCACCAGCCAGGTAACTACGGCGGCTTCTCAGCCTGTCTTCAGCCTGCTCGACAGCAACAGCATTGAGGCGCCTGACAGGGACGACTCATCGCACAACCATGGTCGGCCAGTGACGTCTGCAGCCTCTGTCAACCACCCGCATGATGACGCCGAGGAGGACGTCTCCACCGAGCAGCCTCCTCAGGCTGAGCCTCTTAGGAGAGGCGTGTGAGTACGCATACGCTCTGCCTTGGCGAAAGGGTCTCGTGTTTTGTTTTCACTGAAGGGGCAGCAAAAACTATCCACTAAGGTTAGGCCTTTAAAGGGGCCCTGAAACACTGTTTGAGCATGGTAATAAAACGTTGCCGATCGGTAGTAGAGGGTTCCGAGAGCACGCGAGCCAAATGTTATAGCGCAGCACTTGGCTAAAATTTGCAATAAATTATCAAAATCACCTAAAAATTGCTTTCTCTTTTCTGGACAAATGACGGAAGACGCTCAAAAATCACTCGGAGCAAGCCTATTTATCAGCCGTTGGCTAATTAGAACATCGCATGCTTGGTCGTTACAGAGATCACCGCGGGAAGCTGTCACTTGTCGACGCGTGCGCGCGTGATCGCACTGATAAAGCCGCGTATTCGAAGAAAAAAAGAAAGAAGTGTTCAATGTCGCGAAGCACGCGTTAGGTTTTTCGTTTGCCCCTTCCATTCCTCCCTGCTTAGCTTCCAGCGCTCTCATTGAGACGAGAGAATAGAGAGTGCGATTGCAGCGTGTAACAAATCTTTTGAACTGCGCTAGTAATGAACAGATTCTTAAATGTTGCGGCATTAAATTTGAGAGACAATGAGCTCTTCCAGTGAATTAATTTCATAGTTACTCAAACAAGTGTTTCAGGTCCCGTTTAACTTCTCCTTGGTCTGTTTTATGCCGTGTATGCGTACATTTCTGAGTTTGAGGCTACACAAATTGTTAGTGAAACGAAAAGTGTATCTCCAGTGTGTAACAAATCTTTGGAACTGCGCTCGTAATGGACAGATTCTTAAATGTTGCGGCATTGAATTTGAGAGACAATGAGCTCTTCCAGTGAATTATTTCATAGTTACTCAAACAAGTGTTTCAGGTCCCTTTTAACTTCTCTTTGGTCTGTTTTATGTCGTTTATGCGTGCATTTCTGAGTTTGAGGCTACATAAATTGTTAGTGAAACCAAAAGTGTATCTCCAGTTTGTTCGTACACATACGCGATTATGGCAGCTACACACGCCTAAGCTTCTTTGGAACCAATATAATGGTACAGTGGTATGTGTTGCGCCACTCCACAAAATTGAAACGAAATAAAAGCACATCGAATTGTTCTTACCTTAAGTTTTGGACTGGGAACATTTGAAAGACTTGCGTTTTATTGTGTTTCGAACAAATTTGACACCGAGTTATAGTTTTCGATTCGGCAGCTAGATAGAAAAAAGACAAATAAAAATATTGTGTCATTCAAATTTCGATTAGATTTCAAGGTTGCACGACTTGCTACAAATAAAATGAATTAAATTTAATTCAACAGAGCTTATAGTAACATGAGACGTTTTTGTTTAAAGAAATGGTTATGGCAGGCATTGTGATGCTCTACTGCTTTTCATTACACAACTAGCCTCAAGTCGATAATTATAAAGTTACCTAACACACTTTTATCAATTAATCCTTTAAGGTAACTTTAGGAGTAGCCACATATTTTCGTCCCAGACAAAATGTTTCTTGCTGTCTTAGCCTTTTCATAAAAATGCGTGTATTCTTAATTTTTTCATCTTCATTACCCCATAAATTTGAACGGTGCAATAGAAGGCATGAAATACTTATCTAAGAGCAGCTGTCTGCTCTTATAAGTGTGCTCTCAATATTTGTGGTGCAAAAATTACGAAGAAAGACAAATAAATGAACTTGAAACATGAAATCTCTGATTTTCAAGTGCAAGTGCAATCTTAGGCAATAATAGTGCAGGTTCTTTACAGTTTGTTATAAATAAAAAAAATCCAACCAAATTAAACTAGTACCAGAGGAATGAACTTCAAATATAATACAAAAATTTAAGACATTATAATAGAATAAGAACAATACAATACATGCACATTGTGATTAGGAATAGCTACAGTAGAGTAAGAGAGACAGAATGAAAGAATAGTGAAAAAAAAAACTGACGAAACATTGAAATTTTACACAGAATGTGCTACAGTTCTCTCAACAGAGTTAAATTCCCATATTTTTGAGCAGTAGGTTGTATTTATGACGAATTGTCAGCATGTGGCGGCTGCAAGCGAGCACGAGCTGTGTCATCACAATCACTGAGGTGCATGCAGGATACAAGTGTTCTTGCCCTCCTCTTCCTTATTTTCACCTCTCATTTCGTCCCACTCTCCTTTTACCACAAAGGCGCTGATGTTTCACCCCAGCCGGGAGCATTGCTCGTTTCCAATCATACCGGTTATTTGAACCGTAGGTGGAGATTAGCGAGTCGGGAGGAGCGGGCAATGGCTGGCATTGTTGGCTTGCCCTTTTTGGGTGCCTGTGCCTTCACCAACTGCAAGCTCCTCTAGTTCACGGCGCAAGTGCTAGAAGTGGCAGTTTGTGAAAAAAACACATTAAATCCTATATTTTTTCTAGTTTCTGCATGGAATTAAGGGTTGTCTCTATCAATAGCATGACCCAATTTTTCTGTTTCTTGGAAACTTATGGTGGAAAAAATTTTGATAAGTGCCCTTTTGAAAGACAGAAACGTGAGTTAGAAGAAAATTTTCCGGTTTGCTACGGTGCATTAGGAAAGAGTGGAGGGGAGACTGAGGTAAGCAAAAAGAAAAAAATGGTTAAAATGATAAAAAGAAGATGCACACATACTCATGCACGGGACTGTCATAGTCAAGGAGCTTGGCCGTTTGACCGCAGAAACCTCCGCTGCGGTTTTGTCGCTTTACGGCTTGAAGCTCAAATATTCCATAACTTCAAAATTGATTTTTCTCAATGTGGCTGGTCATCTTGAAGTGCTATGCTGTTGCGAGCTGTTGTCTCAGCTAGCTGTAGTGAAGACTTGGATAAAAGGTGGCTGTGATGGGAATGATACAAAATCGTGATGCTGGAGGTGATTAATACAGCAAGGAAGAAAAGAAAACGAGATTGATACAGCAAAGCAAGATATCAAGTGCCTAATATGAATCGTGTTCCTTAGAAGCTCAGAAAAAATCAATTTGGACTTGGCATCATGACATATGCATAGGTAAAAACTTGATTGATTATTATAGGTCAACTTGCGAGTGAATTTTAAGTTGTATGCAAGCTCAATTTTTTTTGGAATTTGCACTCCAGCTTTCAGCGACTGAATAAGTCTTCCCCCATACGCATATGTACCAGGAAGGAAGGTTGAAGTTGCTTTTTGGTTGCACTTCTTGTGTTACGGGTTCATTAAAAAAACAGACTCTAGTGCAGCAGATATTGCTGTTTACCCTATTTACCAAAACTGCACTTTTATAGTTTAGTTATGCCATATATGATATTGTTGGAGTGTTGGCAAACAAATGCGACCTTGTTGAAGAAGGACACAAAGATTTAACAATACTCAGAGCAAATTTTTGTAATAATACAATCCATGCAGTATATGTTTTATGAATAATTCAACATATCTACTTGCAACAGGTTATTAGGAAGTGATATAGAACAAAGTATAAAACTCAAAGCTCATTACATAAGGTAATGTTTAGTTTAAATGAGCATATAAAATATAAAAGCGATGTTTTCAGATGCATGATTGATCTCCTCTTGCCTATTTAGGATTTCAGCCAATAATGTACTTAGGTACTTCAATGTGGAAACACGAACCATGCTTATTTTGATGTTACATATTCTAGTTTTTTTCGCATGGAGTGAGATTTGACGTATTTGGCATGGTTGATATTAAATATATATATATATGTTATTTAACATTTTCCACTGCAGGAACGCGTGCCCTGTGAAGCAGGAAGTGCTTGCTCCTTACTGGGCCAACAACACGCGTGGAAAGGTGCTGGCTCTCCTCAACGTCTACCCCTTCGAGCAGTATGTACATGCCGAGAAATGCGCGTAAGTATACTCTGTGGCAATATACTGTAACACACGTCCTAAATTACAAATTTGTTCATAGCTACGAATTTCGACTTTTTTGTGCACGCCTTTTCGCATTTTCTTTTACTATATAATACAGGTCCTAATCGACACCAGTTCGTCTTGTTTATTCTATTCTTTTACTTTTCCTTGTTAAGTTATTTGCGTTCTGCAGGAGTGTGCAATATATTAGCACAACAATTGATCGCATCACTTCGGTGCTAACAAAAACATGCAGATTAGGAGTTAGGTTAGGTTACGAGAGCAAGTTAGTGTCTTCTGAAGCTAAACTTGGACCTTACAGCGTGATAATGCAACACTGTAGTTTTGGTGAGCTGCTTAATTCCATCCTCTGCCACATTTTATGGCACAGCGTTCTCTTTGTTGAAGGAGAGACAAAGAAACAAGTACAACCTTTATATGTTTTCATTTGGATTAAGGTAAGTGCATATAGGGAAGAGATAACACTCACCTACGTGCATGTGGTTCAAGTAAACGAGATCGGACTAAAATATTTAGGCAAAAAAAAGAAAGAGATCGAGTCAGCTGAATAGAATTTGAAGCAGATGAAAAGAAGCATTGTGGTGATGGCATCGTTGCGACACTTCTTTCTAATACTTTCTTTCGAGAACCTTATTCAGCATATAGTTATTTTATGAAACCTTCTCAATGACTCGATTTGGTAAGCTTTGAAAAGACAGAATGCTTCGTCATTTAGCCCAAGTAGGGTTGAGCTTGCAGCATAAATTAGACCTAAACAAAAAAAAGAAATTACAGCCAATGCAGCACTATGGACTCCAGCTGCCATTTCACATGTTCAATTATTATTTCATAAGAGCAGTGCAAATGGAAAGAGCTTGATATGTATATATACATACAGTCGGTACAAACATTGTGATAAAATACTTTGATGATATTGTTTGGCACTTCAAAGGAGTGACATAAAAGGGTAGGAGGGATGCTTAAGATTCACGCAATAGTGTGTATCCTGCTAGTCGGAGACATCGTCTCCACCGTGAGAATATGCTTTTTCTTCTGGTAATCACGGACATCAATAAAGTATCGAATGCACAAATGGGGCGAGCCTCAGATTTGTTTCTTTCAGAGTGAAGCACCTTAGGCTTTCAGGATGTCTGTTGTTGCCGTATTCATCGAAGATCTGTGTCGCACCGAAAAACAGGTGCTATATAGTATACCCTACATAAAGCATTTATTGTGCATAGGTATATGGTTTAAAAATAAGACTGTACTGTGCCCGACCGTGCGTGCGTCTGTCCATCTGTGCATCCGTTCATGTATCTGCCTGTCCATCCGTCCGTTCGTCCATGCATCTGCTGCCGTGTTTCTGTCTGTCCGTGCACGCTTGCGTCTATCTGTCCTTCTTTTATACAAGTCGGTGACTTCAAAATAGGCATTACGGGTCTTGGAACTTAGCTTCCCTCTATAATCAGCATTCGGTTGGTCAGCAGCCATTTTTAAGTGCCAACTCCGGTGACTTTTTGAGGTCAATGGATCTCAATAAAATTCGCTGTGTATGTTCTTTTGCTTATTTTCGTCTTTTATGCCAAATCACAAGCTTGAGTGATGCACTGATCATTTGCAAACGAATTTTAAAGATTGCTTCGAAAAGCTCGCCCTGCTTTACAGAATTATTGGCAACACTGTCTGTGTGACGTCATGTTCGGCATGATAACGGAAGTGACGCAGCCAATGGCATCACTACTTTGAGCCATACAGCATTTATTGTGCTCACCACAAGGTGACGGCGGCGGTGTTTGGCGCTGGTATAGCACGGGAATGCTTTCTTTCTTCATCTGTGGTCTTTGGATGGTGCTGTGCTAGACTGGCTTTCACAGTTTTCATACTCCGCACCAGCGATCCAGTATACAGTCTCCGGCTCTACCAAACAGTATGTCATACGCAGACAGGGTGCTCGGTTGGGTTTCAGTTTTGTTATTGCACATCTTTGCTTATTAAAATTATTTTCAAATTTTCTGAGCATTTCAACTACTGGGCTCGTGACAAGAGTGTCTCAGGAACATATAAGCACTATGACTTTGACATGGTCAAAAAAACGCCATAGTTGGCCTTTAAAGCCTATATAACTGCCATTCTTTAGAGGGCTGCTACCTCATGCAGTGCGGGTGTACACAACTGTCAGTCTATCTGCTCGTCTGAGAACGTACTGAGCCCTCGGGCCAATTCCACATTTACTTTTAATAACTATAGGCAAGTGTATGAAGAACATCCCACTTAGCTACTGAGAGTGCTAAACTATTTCAAAATCAAAGTTTTGTTGAACTTATGCGGTTGGTGGTTCTTCGCTTAAGCAGCGTTCTCGTGAGGCACCAAACAAACAGGCTCTGGCAGATATTCTTCGTCCCGCCCCTCTTTGAAAAGTTTCGTACAGTAAGAAAGTTTTCATAGTGTGTAAAGAGCAGTTAGCACATTTTGTATATAATGGGTCCGAGCGAACGTTATTGAAATTTTTATATTCCATTTATAGAAGTGACAGATGTGTAAAACATACCTTGTTGGTGAAGATGATGAGATAGACCAACCAGCATAGGTTTAATAAATGCATCGTATGCAAGTCTTCACTTGTACTTTATTTTAAATGTTCATAAACCACCCTTCGGGCTTGCAGGTTCTCTGCAAATCTGAGTGCTGGTTGCATCTTACGGGGATGTCTGCATCTTAAGAATAGCAGGAACAACTATATAGGGTTCAGTGATATCTTGCAGTCATGTTTAGAACAAAACAATGTTTGACGCAGTATAGAGTACCACACGGTTAAGAGTACGATGTACTCTATAACAGTATACATCAATGAGCTTTCAAGCTTCAAGATTGGCTTTTTCATCATCATCATCATCATCATCATCATAAGCCTGACTACCCCAGTCTTGTGTTTTCTGTTGCCACGTTATACCTGCAACCTTTTCAATCTCATCTGCCCACCTAATTTTTTGCCTACACTTCATGAATTTGCCTGCTATGGAAATTCAGTCAGTTACCGTTAATCACCAGCCGTTATCCTATTTACTTGGTACATAACCTGCCCATGTTTATTTTGTCTGCTTGATTTCAACTATGATATCATAATCTCCGGTCTCTTCCCTGATCCACTCTGCTCTCTTCTTGTCTCTTGATGTTACGCCTATCATTTTACTTTCGATCGCTTGCTCCGTCATTCTAAGTTTAGGCTGAACTCCCTCTTTAAGCCTCCAGGCTTCTACTCCGTAGGTAAGCGCTGGCGAGATGCAGCTGTCATATACCTTCCTCTTCAGGATTAGTGGCAGATTACCATTCATAGTTTGAGAATTAATGCCGCATTCGAGAACCCCTCCTTATTCTTCTACTTATTTCATGATTCGGCTATATGGTTATTGCCGGTCCTAAATAGGTATACCCCTTTATAACTTCTAGCGTATTTCAACCTATCGCAAAGCCCTGTTTTCTGCCGAGACAGTTACACATTAGTTTTGTGCATCAAAAATTTCAGACCTACTTTTCTGCTTTCTGTGTCCAGTTCAGTAATCATGAGCTTTAATTCCTCCCCTGAGTTACTCACCAAGGCAATGTCATCTGTGAACCGCAGGTTACAAAGATACTCTCCATCAACTCTTATCCCTAACTCTTCGCAATCTAGGGTTCTGATAACTTCCTGTAAACACGTGGTGAATAGCCTTAGAAAGATTGTCTTTCTATGTTTTAAACCCTTCTCCAGTGGGTTTCTGTCGCTTTCTTTATGGAGAACTATTGCAGCTGTGGGTCCTCTATATTTCTTCAAGTATGATTATGTAAGGTCCTTCGATGCCCTGATTTCCTAATGCCTGCATTACAGCTGGTCTCGACTGAGCAAAACCCCTCCTCGTAATACAACTAGGCTAAGTATAGTGGTTGGTTGTATACTTTGTATTTTTCTATTTACATAATTGATAGTATTAATATGGCATATTGTGGTGTAGCCTGTACAAAATTCTGCTTAGTTGATTGGTTGGGTGGACTCTATTGTGGCCTTAATTCTATTAGCCATAGTTTTTGTGAATAGTTTGTAGAGTACAATCATTCAGCTCAACGTGGCTAGTACTTGTTTAAGTCCTTGACATCTCCTTCTTTATAGAGTAATATGATGTTGGCGTTCTTCTAAGATTTTGCTACCATTCCTGTCAACAGATGCTTCTTATATAATGTGACCAGTTTTTCTAACACAATTTCTCTGCCATCTTTAAGGATTTCTGTTGTTATTCTTACCAGTGGCTTTTCCTCCTTTCATTCCTTCTTGGGCTTTCCTTATTTTCCCCTTTGTTACTGGTAGGATGTTGAATTCTTCTGGACTATTAATATTTCTCACGATATCATCCTGGTTGTGTTGGCTTCTGTACAGCTCTCTCTGGAACTCCTGCGCCATCTCGACTATCTTATCCATATTAGTTATGTCATTGCTTTCTTGGTACTAAATGCATACATTCATTTTTCGCCAATGTGCAAGCTTCTCTTTGCAACTTTTAGGCTTCTGCTGCTTTTTACAGCCTGCTCAATTTTCTCGATGTTGTACCTTCCAATGACCACTACCTTATGCATACTTATTACTTGAAAAGGTCCACTAGCTCTATTTTGTTGGCTGCTTTTGAGGCTTTCAAGGTTTGTCATTTCTTAATAAGATTCTTTGTCTCCTGAGATAGTTTACCAATGTCTCATCTAGTGCATGTACCTCTGACTTTCATTGCACGCTCTTTGATGGTAGTAGATGATCGTTCATTGTGTGAACGCTAATGTCGGTTACCTCATTAAGTGCCTCGAATTGGTACCGAAGCGAAAATATGAACTCCAGTACTTTTCCTCTCAGCACTAGTTTATTATTTGGCTTTTTTCGCATCAGTTTTGACTTTGGTATTTTTAAATCTAGGTGAATACGAGGTTTCACTGTTCTATGCTCATTGGATTAGATCTTGCCTCTTACTTCTACATCCTGTAGAATGTGTGGGTGTGCACTAAGAATGAAGTGTATTTCATTTTAACTTTTGCCATTAGGACCTCGCTACATTCCACTCATGATTAGCCTGTTTACTGAAGAAGGCGTTCAAGATCTGTAAATTATTACGGGCTGTGAACTCTAGTAAAGACTCCCTTCTGGCACTTCTAAAGCCAATGCAATGTTTCCCCACTGCATGGTCTCCGGCCTGTTTCTTGCCTACTTTGGAAACAAAGTTGCCTATCAGAATAGTAAACTGTGACTTTACTTTATTAATGAATGACTCTACATCTTCATAGACATGCTTAATCAAATTATCATCATGGCTCGATGTAGGCGTGTGGGCCTGTATCATCTTCACCTTGTACCCTTCATTTAACTGAATTATGATACTTGCCACCCTGTCACTGAGCCCCGCCGCGGTGGTCTAGTGGCTAAGGTACTCGGCTGCTGACCCGCAGGGCGCGGGTTCGAATCCCGGCTGCGGCGGCTGCATTTCCGATGGAGGCGGAAATGTTGTAGGCCCGTCTATTCAGATTTGGGTGCACGTTAAAGAACCCCAGGTGGTCTAAATTTCCGGAGCCCTCCACTACGGCGTCTCTCATAATCATATAGTGGTTTTGGGACGTTAAGCCCCACATATCAATCAACCCTGTCACTGATGCTGTAGTTTTCCGCTATGTTGCCAGCAATATTCTTGTGTATAAGAAACGTCTAGTTCTTTTCTGTGAATTAATACACAGTAGCATAAGGTGTCCATTCTCCAGAACTCTATAAGCCTCACGAGTCCTTTCGGCTTCACTGAACCCTATTACATCCCGTTTAGCATTCTACAATTTCTCTAATAGCACAGCTGCATTATCCTCTCTAGATTGCGTTCTGACATTGATGGTAGCCAAGTTCAGATTCAAATGGCGGCCAGTCCAGACCCAGAGATTCTTAGCACCCTCCGCTGCATCACACGTCTGACCGTTGCCTTGGACAGCTGCTTCGCAACCACTGGGGACTAAGGGCCAAGGGTTTATTGCTGTAATCGAAAGTCGTGGCCAGGTACTGCACCAGGGGGGTCAATCCTGCTCTGAAAAGAAAGTGAATTATCGGTAGCTGGTTGCCATTGAAGTCGCACTCCAGAACTCTTCTTTTTCTTGTTTGTTGAAGATTAGGGACAGGAATAGTGAATAACTTTCACGGTCACGCTTGTTCCCGTCATAATAGATTCACAGTTGTGTCACTGGTTTTGTTTCAGAAGCTAGAACACCCTGGTAAACTTCATTCAATATTCTGACATTGCTATTCAGCGAAACATAATATTGAAGACAATATTGAAGAAAACCTTTATTTAGTAATGTGCGAAGTGCTTATATTAGCTGACAAACAGCACTAGCGGTTTGAGCAGATGCCAGCTAGCACTGCTGTCTCAGGAAAAGGACAGGCACTCTGGCAAGCAACTTCTCGCGACGTAGTTCGAAGGAATGTGAATTTCTCCGGTATCAAATGGTATAGACCTCAGACTCTGGATGTTTGCATACCTATTGTGCCACCTGTCGGCGAAGTTACGGGTAGGGCAAAAGTCGATTCCTTTGCACAGTTTATTGTGCAACCAGGTGCAACTAGCACGGGCTAAACAACGATTGAGCTAATACTATAAAAGTGTTTGCGTCTTCAACTCTTAGAAAAAGAGCTACGAATTTCTCTGCACCAGTTGAACGTGCCAGGGATTCGCCACGACGTGCTTGCTGGTTCACTCGCCAGAACAATGGTGAGAACAAGAGCAGATGCAAGAGCTCTGTGCCCCACAAAGAAGGAACTCAGTGAATGCTGGTCTTGTGTTGGTAATTGCCAAGGACTTTAATTTTAGCGATTTCGATAGCTGATGCAAAGCAGATGGCGAAAGCACTAAATACGAGCCAATACCAACGTGTTGGCTAAGCGAATTACTGGCGTTGTCTACAGTCGGTCACATGTGAAAGTGTGATAATGTAGGTCTGCTGTAACTATTAGCCTTGAAGGAGAACTGTGGTAGCTCTGACTATGTAGCTCAACAGAGTTTCTGACCGCAGTGCACGTTGTGCACTACTGGACTGGTGATGCGCGTGGTAAACATCGCACATGCCTCAATTGTCGATAATCTGAAGTAATCACGACCACACAGCATCTGGCACGTAGGCTTTGAACACTATAGGTTACTGCTTCAAAAATCAAATTCGAACACGTAATTTATACAGGTAAATCATAACATGTTTGTCATGACCACAATCAGGTTTTTCTTGCAGTTGTTCTCATATCTAGGAGGCCTCGGTTTGCCTTTCGTTGTAAACTGAGAAAGTGAACACGCATGGCTTCTCATTTGCAGGATATACACATGGAAGACAACTGTCAATAGAAGATTATAGGAGGCGTTAAACAAATTCAACGCACAGGAAGTGAGAGATGGAAATGAAGAATGCGATTGAAAAGGCGAAAACCACCGGGACCATTAGTCCGGATAGAGCGAGCTTCGTACCACTGATAGTAAGAGACATTGTCTGTGTAAACACTTCATGGCATTCGCAACATATGTGTGCCCAAGTTTACGCATTTAGGTGTTCCAGAACACACTTGAAGGTGCTTGCCTCGAACTCGATGTTACGCGATGCTTGCTTGCACTTGAATTGCGAGCTTCACCACGCCGAAATAAATGAAATATTGTTGACGTTCTACTGGCCATTCCATTTATTGAGCTTGCTACTTTTCTGAAGTGAGGTTGGATTGACAGAAGGACCTTGTTAGTTCCTTGATTTTTATGAAACCACGCCTTTATTCATAAGCACTATAACCGTCATCCAAGTGTAGCTTACAGAACGCTTGTCGGGTTAAAGAAGTGATGAAGTGCCTAAAGCGCATAACAATGCTTTTAACTCTACTCTTGCTGGTCAGATTCCAGAAATTTTGAAAATATGCATTAATTGAGACCAAAAAACTTTATGCTGAGGTCATTCTATGATCATTTAGAAAAGTGATTTATGAATGACTGGCTTAAGCATGACTAACTTTACATCTGATACTACGAGGATACGAGATGACCACTCATATGATAGACGCGAGCCATGCTACAAAAGAAACATGAATTTTATTTCTATTTTCTGCGTGTGATTCACATCAAGTCGCAAATTTTTAGGCTTCGAAGAGTGGCCGAGTTTCGTCTTTACTAACCGTACCACGTACTCCTGATGCAGGTTTGAAAATCGGCAGATGTTCTGCCGAGATGGCTGCCGTTGCGAGCAACAGTTTCGCCTACACCGGTTGCTGGCCTTCGATCCTCGGAACGAGTGTCGGGGAATTTTCGCCGACTGGTTCCGCTTTCCATCTTGCTGCGTCTGCATCTGCTACGATCTCGGTTCTCCGTCTTCCCGGTGGACATCTTCTGTTCGAGGAACCTGACATAATGCAACTCCAACCTCGTCTTTAGTGCCAAAGCTAATTTATGTGCATGTTGCTTCCAGAGTCTCGAGTAAAAAATCAATAAAGTATAACATAACTATGTTTCACAAACCATTTGTTGTTATCATATCAATTTTGAGTGGCCCTGCATGCACATCATTTCTCTGTGTTGATGCGTAAACATGTTCCCTGCTATCTATGACAGCTGCATTTATTTCTCTCTCTTCAGAGCGAATAGAAAGATAAATGATAAGGATGAAGAAAAGAAGAACGTGAACTACTTTGCGAAAAAGGAAAAAATGAATGCTGACAAATCCCTCAGAAAGAGTAGAAAAAATTGGCAGTTCTTACAAGCGTGAAGTGGAGTGTATGCAGCCATGAGCTGTCCCAAAATGTCATCTTTAAGAAGCGTGATGACAACTTAGAGATTTGCAATGTGTAGAGGTCAGATAGGACCTTGTCGCTGCCCAACATGACATGAAAGTGATGAACACAGTTCACATTTTTATCAAAATCATTCCACACAACAAAAAAAAACAGTACCTTCGTCCAAAACACCTACAAAAAAATCCCCAAAAGAGAACAGAAAACATGGTTTTATTCATCTAAAGTGTGAAACAGTTCACCCTGGGGACAATAATAGGCTTGTCATAGAGGCGACTCTAACGCACCTCACCAGCAATGGGGCTACCCGAACAACACGAAGAAGAGGAAGGACCTCACTGAAGTTATAGAGCAGGTGAGTCTGATGATGCTCAAGAGGTCCTCATCCCATACGAGGATTATTATAGGCCTCAATATAGACACTACACCAGACCTCATCCTCTGCGAGAGCGTAAAGCAGGTTACGTGGGTGAATACTTTTGATGACTGAGGTAGTGACCACAGGGATTGTCAACATCCACACAGAGAACAGGGTTCTGCAACCAAAACTCACACACGTACCTAGTGAAAATTCTCATAGAGGTCTGAATTAGTCTGATACAGTTTCCTATAAGTTTTGCTAGTCTTGTATGAGACTGATACAAAGTCTTCTCAGTTCTTATAGACATCCATATCAGTCTGATACAGTTTGTTACCAGTGTTACTAGTCTCGTATCAGACTGATACACAGTCTTATTAGTGCTACCAGCCTTTGAATCAGTTTGATTAATCATTTATATGGCATATATTAGTTTATAGGTTTTAATTGTTTTGTTTATTTGATGGATCTTAATAAAATGCATTACTGTCATTTTAACAGTAGTTCTTTTTTCGAACACACTGCCCACATATATATGATTCGTCATTTCTACATGTATATTAGCGTATCAGCGTTTTCTATTGAACACTTGGTGACCATTGTGTGAAATATTGCGATCTCTCAAAGAGTGCGACTCCATGTCAGTTTTTGTATGCATAGAATAACATGTACAATGCTTCGTGGTGATGCATAATTGACAAACTGAGCTTTCATTATGCAAAGCAGGCTTCAGCCTAGATGGGTGCCTTATTCTATGCGCAAAAGGGGTTGCACTTGCCAGATAGCAACACAGTTTATCTTTCCAATCATAGAAGATACCTAGAAATTTTAAGATACAAATATCCAAAACTTATCAGATAGCAGTATAAACTTGACTTGAAACAATACAAACAAAACTTCTCAATACTACTAACAAATTTCTAAATTTTTAGCTATAGGCCCAGTAAACATCCCAAGACATAGAACTCCATAATCAGTGCACTATTGTGAAATGAGCATGCCGATACAATAATTTTTTGAAATGGCATGGAGTCGAAAGCCTCAGGTGGTGCTACAGTTTTTCTCTTTCACAACACAAGCCACTGCCAGCTGTCTCTCCCACATAGTGCTTTGCTTTTAGTGATGAGCCACTACATTAGTGCTGTAATCGACACTGGATGAGATCTTTTAAGGTGTTAATAGGTTATCTGGATTAACAGGCTCCGTCAAAGACAAGTCTCGGTTAAATGTTAAGGTAAGTTCATCATCTTCATTGCCTTCGCATGTTCGCGAATATTATTATTACTCAGAAAACATACCACATTGCGTGCTTCGTGAGTAAATAACTTCCTAGTAATTAAAGTTACGGGTATAGGCTGTTTTGTTTTGGTGATACAACACATTATTTTTTCTATTTCTTGCATATAGGGCTCTATTTATTTGAAAACTCCACACCAGAAAAATATGGGTTTTGTGCTGTTGTACTTTTGTAAAAATATTGATGTAAATATATTTGTTTTGTATTTCACTTGTTTTAACACTTGAGTAATTAGAAAGCATAAATTACAAGTTGCGCAGTTACAAATAAAAAATAGTTGGATATCACCATCTCCAAGGGTGTCATGAGATTTCTGAGCCCGCGTTCTATTTGTCTCTCTTTGCCTATTTTCCCCTTGTTTTCATTATTACGAGTGTTTTGATTAAGACATGCAGTGAATTTTTTTTTGCTAGCTTAGTTCTTCAAAGCAGGGTGCAGTGCTCACGGAACAAAACGGGACAACTGACGAATAGTCCATGATCTTGTTTGCACCATCTACAGTTCAGGTGACATATGTGCTGTTTTGACTGGAATGCGTACATAGGAGCCAAAATTATCGTTACAGATGTCGCAACATTGCGTGGTTCTATCGAGGAACTGTACATACCTGTATACATAGTTACACAAACTATAGTGGTGTCGCGTTTTAATTTGTGAGCACTGAAGATAGTTTTACGCAAGCCGACAGAAAAACTGGTCTGATGCACTAGGGCTTGCTACTGTGTAAAATGAACTGGGGGACCATTTGGCTCCGCTTTTCAGAGTTGAACGTGATAGCAATATCAAGTCTCTTGTGCGTAATTCAATGTCTCAGTATGTACTTTTTGGTTATAATGCTACTTGGGCAGTTTTAATTGTGAAATACTACAGCGTGATTGAGGAAGCCTAAAACGCCTTCTCTTAGTGAAGGTTCCGCACATGACTCCATTTTGTGTAAAAAAGGGTAGCATAGTTTGAATTACGAGCAGTATTATGTTATCATAACTGAGTTGCGCGAAAAAAAATTGAAGTACAGAAGGGAGACACGTGGACACAGCGCACACTAACAACTGAAAGTTTATTGGAGAAGACAGAAATATATATGCGGTTACGAGAACACGTGGGGTGAAATAAATAAATTAGATCAGCAGACAAATTCTAAGGTGCTTTTAGATAAGCTACCTCAACAGCAAGCAACATAAGCGAGAGTACCGTGACTCATAAATCACCAGCTTTGTTGATGAGATACGGCTCTTCAATTGCCCGCGATACATTGCCCCTGAATCTAGCTCCAACTACCATATAACAAGACAAGGGCGCGCCGCCGCACTCTCTACAATGCGATGATACGTTAGAGCATGGTTGTCTCTTTAGAGAAGCTTTGTGATCCATAATGGTATTATTGATACAACACCCCGCCTGTTAAAATAGTACTTCCCACGCGACAGCGGAGTGCCGTACACCGCAAGATGTCTGCACGTTGAAAGAAAATGATTAGATGTCTGTTCATCTAATCGTTTTCTTGCATCACACGCGTTCTCGTAAGCGCATTTATATGTCTGTTTCTCCAATGAAGTTTCAGTTGTTAGTGTGCGCACTGTCTAGGTGTCTTCATTTTGTACTTCAATTTTTTTCCCGCAGCTCAACATGAATTACCAACTCGCCCATAGTCCGTGCTCCTCAATATTTTGTGCGTAAAATGTTATAGAACTTGCTATGCACCCACTACGCAGTCTTGAGAGAATACGCACAGTTACGTGCGTGTTTTTTTAATGGTTGGCTGTCTATAAACCACGAAGTCGCGTTAGTAATAGGAATGTTGTGATGCCCGATGGTAATGTAACCTTGTACCATGCAATATTGCTGGGATATTACATGTTGTGCTATGAAAGCTGTATGCAAGATGCCCGTGTTTGTTAAGCATGAAAGTTATTTTTCCTGCATTTGAAACCAGAGGAAGTTATTCCTAATTTATTTCCTAGCAGGCGCGCAGCTGTGTGGTAGAGCACTTGCCTGCCCCGCAATTGTCCTGCAAGGCTTCAATCATCACTTGGACTCGAACATTTTTATTTGTTTCATTTGCATTTTCTAAATTTTTGGTCATGAACAAGATGATTTTTCACTGAGAACCACCGACGGCTACGCCAGAGTTTCTGCAAAACGAGCTCTTTACTACTGTTACAATAATCATACATTGGTCGAACGGAAAGTGATATACGTTTTCAAAATAGATTTTCAGTGCCCCGTTGGCAAGAAATATCGCTAATAGCCTCCGTTCCCCTGTGCACACACGTATAGACAACAGTTTTAGCAGTAACGCTATAGGCCATTGCTAGTCGCAATACTTGTCCATGACATGCTTGCATACCAATCGCTTTTGGCAGAACTCTATAAAGGTTGAATATCAAGTGCTTTAAAAAATTCAATGCACACGAAGTTCATACGGTCAACAGCATGTCGATACTCCTTTTTGACTCACTATGGGCGTTTAATTGACACGCCAGAAATGTTTTAAATAAAGGAACTGTGAAAAAGCTCTTTACAAAACTCGACATAAAAAGTCGATAGATAAGCATCAAATCTAAACACAGTGCATCTCTTCATGAAAAGTGGACTAGCAGTGACATGTGTGCACCACAAATTTTAAACTAGTCACCAAGTTACATTTTCTGCAATAATTTCTTGAGAATAACTCGAGATATGGTCAGAATACCTAGAACAAGAATGTTGAGAGGATACGTTCAACCTTTGTTTTAGAGACGATGACGACTTCGTGCAGACTTTTTAACAAACAATATTATTTGTAGCTGTAGAATTATTTGTGGAGCTACAATTTATGCCAGCGACACAAGCTGAATTCATATAGATGAATCATCTGAATAGCTATTATAAAGACATCCATGTAAGGTCATGTTTACCTTATATGAATGCTTCTATATATAGCCATATATAGATTATTACTATATATGGCCATATACAGCAACGTCCATATATAGGTATAAAAGGAATTAGGTAAATCAGGTTGTATAAGGCCCGTATATGACTGCATCAGGAATTGGGAATATCGGTTTATATAAGGCCTATATATGGGGATTC